TGGCCTTGAAGGGCAGAAGGAAGAACTACAACCAAAGCAGCAGGTAGATAAATGGTGCTTCAGCCTGGGCCAAGAAATCAGATTAAATAAACGTGTCTTGCAGATCCCTCCCTTGTTTACATGGAGCTAAACAGGGGGAGGAGAAAGCATGTGCAGGTTGCAATAGTTAAGAATATTATAGTTTTGCAAAAGGAATAGTTCTGAAGTAGCCGGCATTGGTTTTTATCTTGCTGGGCTGTCAAAATCCAGCCTCCCTTGACCTCCAATTGTACGTCCGGCACCATTGAAAGCCTGATCTGTGAACTCTGCAGCCAGCTCCAATCTCTCCTTATCTGAGGGTCCAAAATTGGACCATAGCCACTCTGTAGGAGTGGTGGACCGCCTAGCAGGTAGAGGGGAGCCACATCTCCCCTCCCTGATTAGGACAGACCCCTCAGCTGATAGGGAGCAGCGGCAGCAAACATGGCTGCCATGAAGCGGAAGACAGCCTGAAAACCTAAAATTGTGCAGGAGAGAAAGTGAGTTGCTTATGAACTAGGTAAGAGATTACTTTTTAGTGAAAAACGACCCCAAGAAATTCAAGGGGGGAGCGTATGGGAACTATTGGCTAGGGGCAGAACAAGCACATTAAAAAAATCAGAATATTTAAGAAGATAAAATTTTTAAAGAAAATTAAAGAAAAGAAAATTGAACTCTCAAAGTGAAGATGTGGGATTGAAAAGGTATTTTAAATAATACTGGAATTTGATGTGCAGCTTGTTTTTTTTACAATTATAAATCGTACTACTGGATTTATAATTTAAAACAATTAAAATTGGACTATTAGCATTATGCAGAGAGGCAGAACCAAGTGGAAGTCTGAGCGCCATCTGCTGCTAAAAGGAGAGCTGGGCAACTTTGGGACTGTTTAAATTGCTGGATTATAAATATCTACCTTAAAATTACTGGAAACTTATGCAATAAACAAGACTTTTAACTAAGTGATTCTGAATATTGTTGAGCAAATTAAAGTGATTGGAACAGATTAAACTCCTGGTTTCTTTTTTAAAATAATGGATTGACTGTAAAATGGAAGCAAGTGGAGACAAAGAAATGGAGCTGATCTACCAAGACATTAAGGATTTTATAAAAGAACAACACAAGGAGATGACAGAAATATTTGGTTATATAGAATGTATAGCTCAAAAATTGGAAAATATAACACAAGGAACAACAAATAAAGAACAGGAGAAGGAGGAAGGAATGGAATCACTAGAATGAGCAGAGGAGTGGAAGACAAGAACTAGAAGATACTAGTACAATTGATGGTGAATAAGGGATTAGAACAGAAGGGAAATATTCTGAAAGATGTGAAAAGGAAATGGGAGAAACAGGAGAACAGCTGGAGAGAGGAAATGGGGGGTTAGAACAGGCAGCCATAGAACTAGACAGTGGGGGGATGATACAAGGAAGTCCCAGAGGAATATAATCTACCTGGAGGAGACCTGCATTAACATGATGCAGAAATACCTGCCTTACCAGAAGGAGGCTCTTCTTCAGACAGGTGAGTCACCAAATGGGCCCTGGTTTTGCAATTTTTTTTCTGGGGTCCCCCCCCAAATATTTTATCTGCACCTTCACATGCCAGACAGGAAGAGATTTGGGCACTTACCAAATCAAAGTACAGAAGGACGGCTGGGGGGAAAACATCTTCAATGCCCCCTAAAATAAGTTTTTCAAAGATAAAAACCAATGAAACTAATTAAGCAACCGATGGAGGCTGAGATCCATTTGCATTTCCATGAGAAAATCTTGCAGAGCAGAAGAAAGTCTAATTCTCACATCCAGCTGAACCAAAAGATAATTTTCTTCTTAATTTCCATCTGGACCAACTTTTACAAATTCAATGTGGGGTATCCAAACTAAATCAGCACCCAAGCAGTACAATTATTTTGGTATGTGTCCCTTTCAAAAGTAAA